TGAAATTATTACCATTATGTGAAATAGGAATTTACACGCATTACCTGTTATTCCTCAGATCTTAAGTATAAACTATCCCAGGAAATGTTAGCCATTGATGCTACAAAGCTGGCTGATTTGTAAAATATTTTTTTTAAATCAGCAGACTATGAGTATAGTATCTATATACTTTTAGTGATGTTAGAGGTTACATGCTATTGAATTCAGTATTTTTCAAAAAGAAACATTTGTTTCTATCCATAGACAGAAAGTCCTATTTTCTTCAGGGACTATAGTGGTATTTCCTGCTACAGTTAAAAAAAAAAAAGTGGCTGAAACAAACAGACAAACAAGATCTGTTGCTGAAGCTGAAATTTAGCTCCATTGGTAAAGCAGGGCAGAAAATATATATAGCAATTACGAAATTTTTTCCATGCAGTTGGCAAGAAGCATAGGTTCTTCCACACATGCCATCTTATGGAATCAGCTAAATTCTCTTCAGTACCAAAATATCTAAGCAATTCCTCCTCCCATCCCCATGCCACCAAAGTAAAAATATATCAAAGAATGTGTATCCTTATCACCAAATAACTTCCTTCATTAGAGCAGTGCCCCAGGAAAGTCAGTAAAGCACTTCCTGCAAATGAAATTTTAAAACAAGATTCAAACAGAAGAATAGAGATGGTTTAACCTCTAATCATTTTCTAGAAACAAAACCTTCACTATGGTTTAAGTTCTTGACAGTTTAAGATGAGAAGAGAGTGACTATAAAAATACTTTGGAGTTCTCTGTCCCGTGATGGCTGGTACCTCCTAAAAGCTACCTATCAGATTCTTAAAATGTACTCTTTCCCTTCTGGGACAAATGTGATACCAATAACTGAGCACATTACAACTTTCAACAGACTTGGGTTAAGGCAAGAACATTAGGTTTCACAGTGCTGTGATTTTCCTTCTAAAAATGATTAAAATATAAATATGTCACATAAGTTTTTATATTTTCACTTCTACAAATATTGAAAATAGAATTTTCCTATCTGTGTAAATATCTTTCAGATGAATTGTTCTGAAAGTGAGTTGTTAGTTTTTACTGAAACTTTCTAAATGTTCTGTCTTCTAGTTTCCTGGGGAAACTGCTTTTTAAAAAAGACGAACATTTATCAGTAAAGTTAAGTTTTCAAATCTTAGTATAAGTTCTGATGGAACTGGAAAATAGAGATTAGAATTTAAAAACTGCAAGCAATTGAATGGTTCTTTGCTATTAGCTTTAATTGTTGTGAGATTTTATTTGTATGAAATTACATTTTTAGAACCAGACTTTTGAATTGCTATAGCACAAGATTCAATAAGACATACAGGAAAGAATTAAGGATCTTTTAGTTCTATTAAGATGATCTCTTCCATTAGTAAAGCAATAACTTTGAATATTTTTATTTCATCTTTATGTTTTGTTTTAACAATAAAATGGTAAATACACGTTTGCTTTTCTTTTTAATAACAGTGATACAAAAACAATTTTGATATGTTAAGTGCTTACCAAATTAGTATTATATCAAGTATTTGTGATTTGACTTTAAAATAGCCAAGAAAATTTCTCTAGTTTTCCTTACAAAAGATTATCCAAGTGAGATTTTGTTTTTAAAATATAGTGAGAAAAACAAGGAAAAACACCACTCAGACTTCTAGTACCCCCAAACCACAATTGAAATCATAGTGTATATGCTTCTAGATGGTGTTATGAATGAATGTACAGATATTTATTTTTTATTAATATTGGTTTATTCTTCATTTAAAACTATGTAGGGGCCTTTATACCTTACAGAATTATTTAAAATAAGTCTTAAATAATATTTTTGGACAGAATAAAATGTAAAGAAATCCTCAAAGTGCTTAAATCCTCCTTAAATATAACTTTTTTTTTGATGTGCTCAAAGATGGAACCTCACAATCCTCTGGGAGAAGGGTAGCAGCATCTGTCTCATCGACTCCATTGTCTGTCATTTTAATGGCTTTTATCTAGATAGCAAATGTGTGGCTTGACAACAAAGACAAGTTACCAAGAGACAGTCTCACCAAACGTTGTGGTTTTCAGTTTGTTTTACCTCCATATGGCCTATGTAGCAAAGCAGATAGACTAAAGGGAACCAAGATTTTGGCAAGGAGGCTTTTGTTTCTGTTCAGCATTACAACTGTGCCTCAAACCGATAAAGTTATAAACTGTGTGCAGCAGGATAGGAGACTGAAGCAGCCTGTGACCAGCAGTGAAGTCATAGCATCTTTAAAACCAAGTGAGCTGTCAGTCAGAGGTGTGGTCTTGGACTCCTTCTCATATAACATTTTTTATCAATGACTAATATTAGAAAAAAATTCATTGACACAGTAAATTGAAACCTAACTGGGAAATGAGAACTAAGAAGAGGAAGTCATATCCACAGTGGCTAGATTAGAGTCAAAATAAAATTACAGAAGTAGTAAACAAAGTGAGCAAGTCTTTGGGGCGGGTTAAAACAAACAAGGGGAAAACCAGTCTCAAGGGAAAATTTTAACAAGCATCGCAGAAAATAGCCAGGCTTCTTCTTCTTCTTTTTTTTTCTTAATAAGTAGCTTGTGTTCTGGGGTCAATTATGATTGGTATCATTTAAAACTCAAGCATAACATTGTATCCTTTATTCTTTACTATAACTCACCTAAAGTCCTCATTCCTAGATGAGTGTCATTTATTCTTTTGATCAGAATGCCACCCCCTTTTAAGAGCAAATGTGAGGAACCCAGCTCACTGAAATAGAAGCCGAAGGAAACAAATAATGACTGCTACATTGAAAATGAGGTGTGTGTGTGTGTGTGTGTGTGTGTGTGTGTCTGTGTGTTCTCCCTCCTGTAAGAGATGGAATAAGTTAAATAGTCGCCTTCAAATAAGGACACACAGTTATGAAGATAAAAGTCTTGGGAGTTCCTTGACTAACTTAAAGTCAGACAATTGTACTCACTTTCAAGAAAGACTGGAACTTAAAGGAACTTACAACAGGTTAGGAAATAATTTAAAATAAGTGAGGATCAACATGAGCACCGGAAGGCTCATTTGAAAATCTGCTAGTATTTTCAACGGACAGATTTCTACTATTTTGTCTTGTTTTTATTGATAGTGATGTGTGGAGGGATGAAAGATAAACGTTTCAATGTCCTAGCCAGCCCCCAAGCTTTGTGGTCTTCATCTGAAGCAGGAAATAGAGTAAATAACTTCCACGGAGACTCGAAAGTTATAAAAAAAGAAAAAGAAGCAAGCTTGTTATTTATCAAGGCTTGTACTGATAGTGTCAGGGAATATTTCTTTAAAGCCTTGTAATTGTGTTCGATCCTTAAATCTAAGAGCAACAGAGCAGCAGAAGCCAGAATGTAGAGCTCATCCCGAGGGACACGGAATGTGCAGATGTGGGCTAGTACCCTAAGAGAGTCAGCAATCCAAGTTTATTTTCTTGACGTTCCTCAATTTTTTCTTTTAAAAACTTTTCTTGCTTCTACAACTGTCATAGATCAACTGTTGGTTAAAAGGTGCAGGAGACCCAAGCAAGAACAAAAAATCCAGGCGTGACCCCACCATTGAAAAGGGAATAGCAGTTTACATTCAGATACACATCTTGGATTTTTTCCCCCTACATACATGCTTGTAAAAGTATTTTATAATGGATCCTTTGAATTTTATATGCATTTCGAGCATTTATGAACAAAGGAAATTTATAATTGTTTACTTAATATCACTCTGTTATCTGTTAATATACTAGATCAGCAAAGTCATTTTAAATGACTACTACATTTGCATAATTTCCACCTCTGGGCTTTTAAGTTTGCAATTCTTCACTGTTAACAAGGGGAGTCTTTCTAACATTTTTTATTTTTCTTTGTGGTTTTAGAGAGGTTTTGGTTTGCTTTATTAAAATTGAGAACATCATCATTATTATTATTTAGAATATTATTAGAACAAAAGAAGCTGAAGGTTTACGCCAACATATATTTGTTTTTGACGTCTACACTAAAAACGAAGTGATTAAGGCAAGATCTCCACGTTTGACTTACTTTTAAGTCTGGAATAGAGCGGTGAGGAATTGGAGGAACAAAATACCCTCTCATAAAGTAATCTAGTTTAAGAGAGTTGCTGGGTGAAGGGCCAAACAAGTACGTAATAAACCCGTAAACTACTCCTTGTTACTTGCATGCATTAAAAACATCGATTTTTAATCATGCATTAGCCAGTGATGTAGGAGCAACAGAAAGCCAGTCTGAAGCGCCCAGCCTCCTCCCTGGGCTCCGAGAGGAGAAGAAACCCTGTCCGGGGCCTCCAGGCGCCGGCGCGCGCCGGGGAAGAGTCCCGCGCTGGGGCGAGCGCCCTGCACGCCGTCTTCTGCACTCCTTGCACGTCCGATGCCAGGCGGACCGAAAGCAAACGTCCGCCCTGCCGCCCGCTCTCGGCGGCGAGCGCCTTTGCCTAAGATCGAGCGCGAAGCCGCTTAGCGCAATGGTCAGAGCGTGGGTGGAAAACAAACTTTGTTAACGTGTTCACTCGGAGCACCGCGGTTCTGGGAAAAGGATCAAAGCGACATTCCTAACTGTAACGCTGTGCGCCTTTCCCCGACCCCACCCTCTCTTTTAATAATAAAATCATCATAATAATTTTAGCCGATGAGTAAGGAAGCGGAGTGAGGGGGGAGTGCAGCGGGGCGGTCCAGCAGGTGGCCCGCCCGCATCCCCGGCCTCCGCCGCGCGCGCGCCCGAGTCCTGGGCCACATCAATGGGAATCCCCCGTGGGAACGGCGCCTCCCACCACGCCTGCGCTCCGACGCCCTGCCCGTGTCCGCGCGCCGGGGTCGCATCCCACCCCGGGTTGGCGCCGCGTTGCTCCGCGCCCGCGGGCGAGCCTCCGTGCCGAGGGGCGGGGGCGCTTTGCCGCGGGGGGCGGGAACGGCGCGCGGGGAGGGGAAGGGGTTCTCGCGCGATCGGGCGAGGTTTCCGGTGTTGTGACTGAAACCCGTCAATATGGCGGCGATCGGCCGCGGCCGCTCTCTGAAGAACCTCCGAATACGAGGTAAAACCCCCGCTGGCCGCCCTCGCTCTCCTTACCCGGTGCCCGCCGCCCGCCGCGGCGCTCGCCTTTGCTCCGGGCCTGAGGTTGGGGGAAGCGAGCCGGGCATCGGGCGCCGACCGGCCTGCGATGGTTTCTAACTGGGGTTGTGTGTCTGTTTCGCACAGGGCGGAATGACAGCGGCGAGGAGAACGTCCCGCTCGATCTGACCCGAGGTAACGCGGGCGACGCGGCCGCAGGGGAGGCGCGGGACGGGAGCGGGACGGGGCGGAGGCCCGGGGCTGGGGAGAGCAGGCACGCGAGCCGCGGGGCAGCGAGGGGCCGAGCCCGCGCCCATCCCCCTGCCCCGCGCCCGTTCCCCCGGGCTGAGCCCTCCGGGCCTCGGGCGTCTGTGGGAGCGCGGGACGGAGACCTCGGTGCAGCCAGGGACCCGGGGCTCTGCGGATGCCCGCTCCCGGGTCCCCGAATCCCGGGGGCGGCCGTGGCCGGGGCGGGGAGGTAGAGGTTGTTATTTAGGTTACTGGAGGATGTTTGTGGGAAGAGCGACCACATCCTGCCCTCCCGGGTCCCCCGGAGCAGATGCTGGACCCGCCGGCTTCTTGCTGACTGCGTGACTGCTCTCCTCTGTCGGCGCGGTCTTCTGGGGGCCCCGCAGCTTTGAGAACGAACTCGGCGGTGAGATCGAGAGCCCGTGGTTAATGCTAAGTGTCCGGTTTATGCCGCGTCTCCCTCTCCCGGGCCCGCTGGGGCTGGAGTTGGCTCTACCGCCCCCTCACCCTGCCGCAGGTTCATTGTGTACCTAATGTCTGCTCTGCAGTGGAGATGGGGTTTGTTTACACCTTCTCGGCGGGGCAAGCCCGGCGTGTAGTTTTTAAGAACCGTATCCCGCCGCACGATCGATCGGTATTTTCTTTCTTCGGTCACCAGACTGGTGTTGATTCCACCGTATCTCGCCGAAGCTTTCGTAGTTCTATGCGCGATTCTTTTCTCTTCCTCCATAAACAGGAGTTGGTCGACAGATTCCGACGGCCATACTCCACAGGGCTAGAGTTGAGCGTAACTAGTTCCGCTGTGTGGAATCACTTTTTGAGATCCGTGAAACACCTTAGGACGTTAAAAGAAAAGAGTCGTAAACATTTTATATGACATAAATTTGTTGTTTTCCCCCCACCCTGTATGTAGTGACCGTCATATAAAGTGTTTGGTGGATGTGAGGTTTGGGAAACTCATCTCTGTATTGACAGCATAATTCAGTCTCAGTTCCGTTTCAGTTTTTGTATTGTAAGAATCCTTCTGTGTAAAAAAAAAAAAAAAAAAAAAGGTTCCTTCAGTGTAGACTGAAAAACTAGTTTTGATTTAGTTACATGAGCACATATTTGTTATTTAGTATTTGGTTCTGATAGTTTAGGAAGTTGTTTTGAGTAAACTAGCCCTTTCAAAGGGTGAAACTTTTTAAAGATACAGTACAGTGTTGTTTAAGTCCTAGAAATGGCAGTTAAATCAGTGATTTGGAACTTTTTTTATTAACTAGGTTTCAGAATCAGTATAGAAAAAGGTCAAGCTTTTGACTTTTTTTTTTTGCAAATTTGTAAACTTAATATATACATAAAAAATATACAAAGTAGATTTTCCAATATGCAGTCTGAATATCATAATACAGACCTGTGACTTAGCATTGTGCTTTTCTAACCATGGAGTTGGTCAGTGATTTAATTTGTATCCAAACAATTGTGTGAAGAGACCACTTGGTAAACTTGTGCCTAGTACCTACAGTACAAACCTGTTCAGATATGGGATTGGAAATGAATTGTATAGTATGTGGTTTTGTTAATCTTCATATATTTCTGTGGTGGTGGTCAGAATTTGGGATTGTAGAAAAGCTTGTATACAAGGTTATTTGAAACTTGCTTCACTTCAATATTAACTCAGGAAGACAAATCTATGGGTATGATTGAAAATAATCTATTCTCTGAGACTTTAAGTAAATGCCTATGTCATATAGTTAGCTGTTTCTGGGGGTTATATAAAATGCTTAGAAAATGTTAGTTTTACTTGTCCCGATAAAATGTACTAGCGTTCCAAATAAGTATTCACAGCCAGTTGACCTGATTGCAAAAGTAATCTTCAACAAAGAGAAGTTACATGATAACTCCATCATAGGAAGTTTAGCGGGAAACAGGTTAGGCGTTAGATTCATATATAGTGGAACACTTGATTAGAGAAAGTGTTATTTTAACAAACATTTCATTGTTTGAAGGCTTGTGGATCACACATGAAGAAAGTTCATGAGGAATTGAACTTTAGTAATGATTTGAGACCCATGAAGCAGTCTGGGTTGCAGCTGCTTGTAGATTAGATTACAATGGGGAAAAAGATAAAGTGTGAGCAACCAAAGTTTTGTTTCACTTCATGCTAAGGCAGTGTTTGCTCTCACGCAGATTGTTTTGTGAAGTCTGCTGTGTAGGTGGACAACTGTGGTCATAGTGATCTGTAAAGGAGACACCCATGCATATCAGAGCACTGACTGTAAAGTCAGATAGTATTCGGATAGTTCTGCATTGTAATCTCAAGGACAACAGTAGTTGGGGGACTTGGGACAAGTTATTTGACCTTGCTTACCTCCTGGTTTCTCCAACTTGAAAAAAAAAATAACTTCAAAGTATTAGTAAGAATGTGAAAGGTAAAGGAAGGTAGTTCTTAACTACTCAGTATAAATTGTCTTAGCATTTATAAGCAATATTTAGTGTTGGTTGCTTCCCTGCACTGGGAAGTTGGAATCTTTAAATCATAGCTTACGAAGTATGTCAGGTGATGGTATGTGCATGTATGTGTGCAGGTGCAGAAGCACATGTGTGCATGTGTGTATAGAAGCCAGAGGACAGCCTAGGGTGTCAGGAGCAATACCCTGTTGGGACAGAAACGACCCAGTGGCCTGGACCTTATCAATTAGGCTAGACTGGCTGGCCAGTAAACAGAGAGATCTGCTTGTCCTTGGGTCCTCAGTGCTGGGATCAAACTGTATGCCACCACACCCAGCCTTTTTACACGGGCTCTGGGTTTTGAACTCGGGGCCTCAAACTTTCAGCAAGCACTTCTCTGGCAGAGCACTTCTCTGACTGAGCAATTTCCCCAAGTCCCAAATTATTGTTTTGACTATTACACATGTATTCAAGGAATTAGACTTCGTTTTTAAGATGCTCTACTTTATTTATCAGGTATATCTGAAATGGAGTATTTAGTGATAACATGTTTTTGCTAGTACTGGCACTTAGGAGGTTGAGACAGGACTGGGAATTGGAGGCCAGTCTGGGCTCTTTGAGACCTGTCTCAAAAAAAACAAAAAACAAACAAACAAAAAACACCAAACAACTAAGTTTAACCAAAAGTACTGTTTGTTGTATGTACTTAGGGTAAGATATGATATTACATTTTGTGAGCCTTAGAATTGTTTTCCCTAACACCAGAAAGTTTTTAGTTATGATGAGTGACTTGTATTCTGATTCTCCTGAGGCCCAGGAGGGTTTGGGGGCTTTGGTTTTGGTACTGGTGTTATTGCTGTGGCTCATACAGAATCCTTGTATTAAAAATTATTGACAGATTAATTTTGACCCATTTAGTAAATCTTAAAGTTAATTTATTAGTAATTCTTGCTTTCAGTTTTGTTCAGAAGCCTACTCTACTTAATTTGTGAAAGTCGCCAGTTTGCTTCTGACACCATTAAATACTCCCTATATTTCACACCAAAATGTTTTTTTTAAAACAAAGTACAAACACCCAAATGCTTCCTTTAGCTCCTTCCATAGCAAGCATGGACCTTTTCTTTTTTCCTTTTTTTTTTAAAAAAAAACCCAACATTTAAATAGTGCATCCCTTTCTGGTCCTGTTGACTTAGGGTTGAAAGACACAGTAATCTCTCAGGGTAAGCCCCTGCCTATTAGTATAGAAGTGTCTTCCCTGAAAACGGACACTTCTGTATTAGATATTTATTGGAATGCAGTCTGTTGGGTTAGACTGAAGTATTGATGGTTCAGCGTGGTGTTCAGTATTTAGAAAGGCAGGATGGTTATCTGAAATCGTGTAAATCTGAGCATTTTTTTTGTTTTCTAATTTCCCTTAGTTGTTTAATTGCTCACTTCAGTTAAACCAAACAAACACTGAGAGAAATCTATTACGTATCAGAAACTGATTTAAATGCAGGAGGAGTAGGACCAAGAAAGATGTTGTTCCTTTTAAAGATTGTATTGGAGCTGAATAGAGAAATTGTGGTGTGAAACAGTAAGTAATCAGACTGTTGGAGGGACAGACTTGTGCAGCAGCAGCCAGAGGAGAATGTGACCGTCTGGTGCATTGGTGATCAGAGAAGCCTCTGAAAGGGCCTACACGTCGGGGGGCGGGGGGAAGCTGTGGCTCCGTGGAAGGAGGTGTGGGTGCCTGGAGAATAGAGCACACTTTGGAAAGGGAAAGTCGGTGCATGGAGGAGCTGTGTAGAAGCTGTCTGCTATCCTCAGAGAAATGATGGAGGGTTAGATCAGGGCTTGAGCTACAGAAGTGGAGTCAAAGATACTTTAGAATGAGGAAATCAGCTGATTTGCTTTCTCCCATTGAAAACTGAATTTTATGTTTTGGTAACTTTTCTGTCTGTATCTCATTTTGGAGACAATCTTGCTGTGAGTTCCTAGCTGGCCGGGTACTGACTGTGTGGCACGGGTTGGAGTGATCCTCCTGCTTTGGCCTCAGTGCTGAGATTACAAGCATGTGCTAGCACACCCAGCTTCTTTCTTTTCTTTATTAAGAAGGCTGAGAGACCTGAATTCCGAATTCCTAATTAAGTCAGACTTGACTTCCCTTGCTAGAGTCAGGGTGTAAAGCAGTTCCTCTCCAGTAGTGCCTCTACTCCCAATAAGAGTGCCTTCAAGAGTCTTTATACAACTCTTTACTTTAGTTTCTTCCTTCCTGTTGGCTCCATTTCCACTTGAATAGCAAATATTTGCTGTATCCTTATGGATGGGTTACTAGAGTGGGCTCAGGTCAAAACAGAGTAGAAAGAGATAAAGATTAGAAGGAGGACTTCTGAAGGCTTTAGGCAGGTAAGTATTCTGCAGCTCCCTTCTCTCCCATGGCTCTCTCCCTGTAGTGAAAATGCTGTCTTAATTGATGGGAACAGCCGCTCATGAAACTCACTGCCATTTGAAGTTTTACATTCTACTTTTTCTGT